AAAAAAATGGTTTTTTGATCGTCGCTTATAAACCATGACGTTGTATTTGTCACGTTTTGACAAAATGAATATACCCCTTATCCTTTGGTGATAGCTATGAACACTTTTTGTTTATTTCCACAATCTTATTGGAGCTCTTTAATTTTGTGATGGTTTGTGCGTCGCCAGGAAGTAAAATTCTTATTCCTAGAGACTTCAATCTAACATAATTTGTTACATATACCAGATCAAAATGAGGAAACAACGACAAAAATTTTCATTTATGTTCCGTTGTTGGTCCTGCAACATGTTCACAAAAATTGAATTTTCATTGTCTCATCGATTTTTGCAGCACCCAAAAAGAAGCTTCAGAGATCGCATAATGTTTCTTACTATTCCTTAGTATCAAACCAAGATCGGTATAAAAGATTCAGCCGTGGCCGAATATAATTTTGTTACTTTTTCATATTGATGTTCGAGTTTATAAAACCTTTATGATTACTGATCAACTTAGAAAAGCTTTGGAAATTGAATCATGAAACGAAATTATGAAAGGCAGTGTAGAAAAGAAGAAGCCAGATGCAGCAGAAGAAACCAAAAAAGAAAAAAAAATTGATGATTCAAAAAAGACTCCGAAATTTTTGAACGATAGTAGCGTTCGTTCATAGATGGTAATGAAGAATATAGAGGTTACTTTGAATGCCAACGATTTCAAGGATACTTATGTCAATGAGAGGAAGGGAGGTGCTAAGAAAAATCGCCTCAAAGTTCACGAAACAGAGAGTTATGTTGGTAATACTTATTCTAAAGAAAAAAGAAAAATCAAAGCAAGTTTATGTTAACGTTTTGCTGCGTAGAGAGCCAGTATCGTCATTGAATCGTGCCTGGTACTGATTTAATTTTAAACATGGATGTCAGTAAAACAGCAGATTCTGCTCACATATCGCCTAGATTACTATTAGGACATCCATGGGTTCTGCTTCGTTATCTCGTCCCTATCTTTAGTTGAACAATAAACAAATCTGGTTTTCCTCAAAAACTTATGGTCCTGAACAGTACACTGATATCAAAGAATATCGATTATAGTCGCATTGTTCAAACTAAGATTCAAAGTAAACAAGGGGGCGAAAGGCCTGATCTTTGGATAAGATATTTATTTCTGATTTATATTTACAGAAACAACATTGACTGGAAATCCCTTCAAATTATGTGAGACAAAGCACTTGCAACGTTGTTTTGAACAATGGCCCCATAAAAAAGCGTGGCTCAACCAGTTCTGCTTGTATATGGTGGTAACATTCGACTGTTGATATACATTTACAAACTTGTGGATAATGTAGGATGTCAAACGATTGAATTATAGCAAAATCAGCTTGATTTCAATACAAGACATTGATCTGTTGTACGTGTACACAGGCAACGTTTAGAAATCGGGAAACAAAGAATTGGATATAAAGGCAGTTTGGAGTACTGTAATTTGCCACCATTTTTTAAAAACTCAGAAATCATTACAAGTTTTAAAAGAAGATTAAAGCAACAGTCGCTGTAAAGCTTCGAAACGCTTTTAATGTAGATTTTATATCACATATATTACCATTATTGTATGGTTTATAATATATATCACATATTTGTGTTGGGCATTTCACTTTAATTAAAATTGTGTAAATTTTACTGAAGTGAACACATATTTTGCTAGATAAATGCCCATGCGGCACTGAAACACTTTACATTATTAATATATTGTTTACATATACTGTTGTAAAAGTATAAAATAAAAGAAAAACATTGTATACGGCCGTATAGTTATTGGGCAGTAGCTAAATCTAGCTGAGCTAAATATGTACGAGCGATTTTTTCGATATATCGTTTTCTCTGTGACTTGCGACCATTTATATAAAAAAGATCAAATTCCGATCAAAAAAGTCAATGTTTCGCTATTGTCTAGTGTTCTATTAACATATGCTGTACACTTCTTTGTACAACATTTTTTTTTAAAACGGTATAAAAAATTCGAAGGAAGAGAATGAAATTATTGAAATTACGCTATGCGCCGTTTTGAAAAAATCGTATTTCGTGGAAAACGGTATAAATAAACTTTTTTTGCACTTTTTTATTAATCAACAAATTTTTAATTTCTAAGTAGAAGCATCCGGTCTATTCGTTTGAAACCTCATAACTACTTATCCGGGTCATCCCGGAAAAGAAGAAAATGACGTATTTTATCTATTTGTCAGTGAAGTTAAGTTAAGCCAGAGAAGTTAATAATTAAGCGTTAAAATATTGGTTACAACTTCGCAACACGAATAATAGTAGTTTCGGAGTTCTTGAAGAAGGAGCCAGTAATTTCTAGAACAATATTTTTTCTTTTTTTTCCCTATATTCTAGAAAGTCCAAAACATCTATTAAGCTAATACAAAAATTTTTTTCTTCTGCAAAGTTTACAATAACATTCCCACATAAAGTTGATAAGGACAATTATCAGAGGTCGCAAATATACTACCCCTTTGTAGCCATAAGCCGCTTGTTTCGACATTTCTGCTAAGTCGAATGTTCCTTGTAGGGAACACAAAGTGTCAGTGCTCAGCGCACCTTTTCTATTTTTATAATTCTATATATTACATTACACATTACTATAATATAGCACGCGTCAACGCGTATGGTGGGGTAAAATGGTTTCTTTGTCGTTTTCATTGCCTTTAAGAATAACGTAAGTAGAATAAATGTTTTTTGTTGCTGCTACTTAGGTCATATTTTCTGTTAAAACATTTTTGATTACTCAAAAGCTGTCTACCACCTATCCACAAGAACCCTTTAACAAAACTCAGTTATAATTAATTAAGCTGCATTACGTTATTGAAAACATAAATATCCCGTTCACTTTGCATATTATTACAAAAACCATGTGTTTAATAAGATGAATCAACATAAAAATGCCTTATATTTGCTCATAACTGAATTTCCAATATGTTGACAAAGTAATCAAAAATAAATTATGATTTTGGATATCTTTTCCAGCATCGCAAAATAAAGGAACATTATGGGAATAGTAGGATTGAATTGATTCTCAATGAAAAAAGTCGATTAAATGCGATTGTGCACTTAATGAAATAAAGTGGTTTAGACTAATCAATCCCTCAATAAATCTCAATAAATTTGTAAATAATTTTCTGCAAATAGTTATTTTAATTTTGTACATAAAACATACACTATTGTAAATTCACAATTAAGTACTGGGAACCTGATTTGGGAAGCTTTACGAATAACACGTAAATACGAAGAAAATTTTACGTTACAATATATTAAACTTGATTGTCGATGCCTCCGTTCTAATTAGAAAATATTTTCTTTGCAGCTCATGTCCACATTGGTTCAACAAATTACAATTCAACTCGTTTACATTAGAATGAAAACAGCAAACTATTCGCAAACTGCATGAAGTAGGTCTACGCATGGCTATTTCAATTTTTATATCTCAGGCGATAAAGTTCATTCCTCATTAGTTGAAAATATTTATATAATTTTGTAAATCTGAAAAGAAGTTACATCTCCTTAAGTAATTTCCTCTAAAAGCTTTGATTTATCTAAAAATGAAGAAGGTTCGAACCTCTCTATCAAATGCTTCATTTGGAATTTTGCTGCAGATAGTACCGATTCTACTATAAACTATCCACATGATATCAAGTTTATTTTGGTCCCCAAGTTGGTCTTTTCGGAATAAGGTGTTTTGGATCAATAATGTAATATTGCTCGCCAGACCGCAATTGCATTCGTCTTAATCCCATTCGTAAATTATAAACTGATAAACTTTGTGTTAACTTTGTCAAATTTGTATCAACTATCTCAAAACTTCCTCCCCGGACCTTTTCAACCCTTGAAGAATCCTTTGTATAAATGCGCGTAATTTAATCCCCAAAAATTTTGATTAGCGACTTCTACAGGTAAAAATGATAAAGAAATGGGAAATACCAGTCTACATAACGGTTGAACTCGATGATTTTGGCCTCCCTCTACATAAAATATCAGCTTTCCATTTAATATTACTGATTTATTCAGCGTACACCGACGCTAATCATGAGGCGCTCAAAATTCTTCTTCTTCTAAAATTTATTACTTTTTTTTGTTGGGTTTTTAAAGAAATCTGCTGCCGAAACTCACCAAATATATAGGGGCTTATGGTGATGCTGCTCCATAACATCTTAATTGTCAGTACTGGGTTATATGGTTTAAAAGTGGCGACACGAATTGACTGAAAATGCCATTTTTTGGCCACTCGAAAGCTCGGAGTTCTGCCACATCCAGCATTCTCGCCAGATAAGACGCCTCCTGATTACTACATATTCAGATCGGCGCAACATGGCTTGGCTGGCACGCTGATCTACAAAGTTGAAGAAGTGTAAAAATGGGGCGGTGAGCGGATCACTGCCAAACCAATATAAGTTTTTTGGCATGATATCGTCACGTTGCCAAAAATATTGTAAAATGTTGTAGAAACCGATGGAAATTATTTTGGTTAATATATATTGTACCAATTTTCCACAATAAATGCCCTTTCAAGTGAAAAATAGATTAAAGGTTTTGCAAACACTTAATAATTTGGCTTTATAAATGAAATAAATAACTTATCTTCATTTGTAATTTCCAGCTCCTTTCTTTTCTCTAATTCGAAGGTTTGGCTTATCTTTCTAATAAAATTCATTCTCTTGTTTTTAATATCATAGAATTGGCTATCATAATATAGGCGAACTCAAATTAGTACACTCAACTATAATAAGCATCTCAACATGCAATCATACATATGCGAAATCGAATAGTTTAAATAGAAGTTATGCTCCGCAGCACAACTTCCATTCCAATTCAGTTATTCGTGTATGTCTTTGCCTAATAAGAACTGATAAACGAGAGCATTCGTACACAGATGAGCTGCTGACATTTCACAATGCATATTGATAAATTGACGTTATTCTTAAATCGTATTATGTATTGGAAAATTGGAGCTTTATTTACCTATTGCAACGCCTTACCTGCCCCTCTTGTTTCCATTCGTTGTCTGTAGTATCCTCTGAGTCGTCGAATTGACTTTTCCATTGACTCGCTAATGTTAACGCTCCTCCCCCCCTAGTTACTTGCTGCAATGCTGATACGTTTTCGTCATCAATAAGCGCAAACTGAGTAATAGAGTGTTCTCCGCCGCTACCGCGATTTGCACAAACTATCCCACTATTAAGACGTTGTGTTGAAGCTGTGACGCACGAGGGTTTCAGGTTCGTGGAAGTGTTGCAACGGCGAGTAGGTAAAATAGGAGGTGTTATCTGTCGATGACTGCCGGATCCGGAGTTAAGAATCCGTTGAGCTGTCATAACCACGCCAGTTGCTGCATCAAACGAAAAGGCTGAAGGATCGTGCTCGTTTGGCGAATTGGTTTCGTTATACACGCCAGCCACTAACATCTCTTGCGCGCTACTTGTTGGAGCAGTTAAGACCCTTAGTCGACCGTAAGTCGTCTTAGGTTCCTCGTCGCTACTAGCCAATATAGAAATACCTTTGCTGCGTTTGTTGCAAAAACTAGGTAAATTGTTTTCTCCTGTCCGTAACGATGCATACAAATTTTTAGCAAACAACTCTTCACCGGCATTGCTTTGCTCTAGTGGCGTATTTTTTTTTGCAATCGGTTCTATAGCTGAGGAACCTCCACCGCCAATACCAGATGCGTGTTCAAAGTTTTGCTGATCGTCGACTCTACTGAGATTTGCAGATAAGACGCCATCATCGCCAGATTGCCCACGTTTACGTAAACGCGCTTGCAATGATATTGATGTTGTACCCTCATCAAAAGTCGCATCCATAATAATAGGCTGATACTAACAAATAAAAAAAATTTTACACGATTGAAAGCAGTACTTCCTAAACAACTTACAGACATGGGATGTATTGTGGTCAAATTGTTTTGATTCACTGTCAGAACGTTGGACTTATTTGCTACTTGCTGTTTAGCAGACTGATGAGATTGCTGCGGTTGTAACTTATTCTGTGAAGCCCCATCGCCGCAATTTGATAAGGTGACTACAGCGACGCTCGTAGCTGATTTCGTGACATTAATAGTTTGTTCGCCTTGCGCGTGAAAAATCACTTGCCCAGGTTGTTGTTGATCTATGGAATTATTGACACGCCCAACAGCCGACGCAACTACCCCAGTTTTTGGAGAACTGTTTTGGTTGCATATGTTCATGTTTTGTAAATTATTCTCAGGTTGTTGGGTGTTGCAGTTTTTATCAACCTGCAAAAACAATGCGTAGAAAACTCCGATCAATTGCTTGTGAATGCAGGTATGCGGAATCACTACAAATTTGTCACATTTTATAATCAAATCTCAAAAAAAAAACGAAGAAATGTTTTTTCTCTTGAGCTTTATAAATATCGCTGTACTAACAATTTTATAAGATTTAGTATCACTTTGTACAAATCGTACTAACTTAATCCTGCTTTTAAATGATCTGCGTTATTTTCACGCAATTTCTGATAGCTGTAGGGGAAGAAGCTTTTTGCTTCTTTAAATACTTTCAAAACCTTCTTACTTAAATTTAATCGAAAAGTCCACGTTTATTCATTTTTATTATTTCACAACAACATGCAACTAGTGTTCTATTAGTAATTTACAAATACACTGTATTGTGGCAAATGGGGCAGTATTTTATTATTATTATGTTGGTTTTAAACTTTATCGAAATTTTCGAACAACATTTTCCGATAATTCAATAGCGGAGCAATGAACGCAGTACTACTCCATACTACTTGCGTGGTAATCCTAATCTTAATTCACTTTTATATCCGATCAATGTCAAGAAAATCAAGATTAAAATATTTGCAAGAATTTGCCTTGGTCATACTACTGCAACCAGCCAATGTGTCAATTTTCAATTGTGGACAGAATCTTACAAATAACAATATGACTTGTGAATAGCAAAACCTTTCCAATGTTCGAAGACCCGTTTTCGACACATCAAAACCTGTAGACATCTTGAAAACACGTTTCACATGCACGTATTAATAAAATATTTAATATATAATGTATTAAAGCGACTGGACTAGAATACTTTTTAAAAAAGTTGTTAGTGCTGATTCTATTTTGTTAGACCTAGAATTTATTACTTTTAGTACATTATAATAATATTTTTTCTTTCCAATTCAAATATCTTCAATACATATACGTTCATAAATATAAAAGTGTTTGATTATGTTAATAAAGACCTTCAATACATATACGTTCATAAATATAAAAGTGTTTGATTATGTTAATAAAGTTCCGGATTTATTTTGTTCAACTTAAAATATACTAACCCATCATCGTGGTTAAAAAGAATTGAGGCAGCCTTACCACGAAGCAGTAACTCGATGAGATAGAAAACGTTGTTATAATTTCGAAAATTAATGTATTGGAAAAACTCCAACTTATAAACAAATTAACTATACAATTGACATTTAAATTTTTTTAATAAAAAACGCGACAAATCGCAACATCTACAATACACACAAGAAGTTTGAAATTTGGTTTAGAAATAGGTAAAGAGGTACACATAGTACTTAAATGTTTGCTTTTGTTTATTAACGTTTTTGTTTGTCTATATAAGGTTAATCAATTTTCAGTTAATTTTAATACACGTCAAATATTCTTTTTAAGCACTTAACACGTAAAACAGGAAATGGACGCTCAGCAAGTTTTATTATTACGAGAAAGTATCTTAAAATAAGGCTTAGTGGATTAGGATAATTTCTTAGTGGGCAGAAGATGGACTTACATCGTCATCAGAATATGGCGAGGCTGAAAATAATATTAATGAATTACGTTGGGAGGTATTGAGAACATTCAAAACAGAAGCAGTAAACTGGGATGATCTATAAAAGTTTATATATATAAAATAAGTAAAGTTCGAAGAAAAACCGTCTTCTGCAAAGATTCATGACATGCCAAGAGACCGACATAGAAGAAAGATAAGGGGAGTTACCAAGAATATCTATATACTCTAGTTGGAATGGATAATCCGATCCGATTATATCCGCCTGAGTGGCCGAGTAGGCAAATATCTAGACTAGAAATTCAGCGATCCTCGGTTCAAATATCAAGTGCGTTTTCAATAAAACCGATAGCCTTAGATGCTAGTGCTTTTAAGAATTTAGTCTTAGAATTCATTTCTCCGGCTAAATTGATTAAAATAATAATAACGGAATTTTGATTTCCAAGCAAAAAATAATTTTAATACCATACTAAAAAATTATGTCTTAAAGGTGGCCTTAAATTGATTTAAAAATACATGGAATTACTAACAATATATTAAATTTCCGGTCAGCGCTAAGAGAAGGATATACCAGTTAGGGAAAAGTTGCTATAAAATGCTATAAATAGCAGCGAGCATGTTGCCAAAATTTGTATGTACTTATTCACCTCGAATGTAAAATGAAATGTCATAACGCAGCAAGTGCTTCTAAACCTAATGTTAAATCCAGAAACGAGATCTGCTTCATAGTGAAACATTATGAGAAGAATTAGACTTCGCACTACAAATATATTTTAAGTGGTTTCATTTTACTTGCATTTCAGCCTTGTTTAAACACATGAATCATCCAATGCGGGGAGTTGTTTTGTTTGTTGAAACCTAAGGAAGCCAAGAAAAAATGCTTTTCATTTTGTTTATCCCCGCCATCGTTCCCATTATCGAGTTAATTGGGCAGAACGGAGTACCTTAATGCTGCTATCTGAACATCAGGCAAACCGTTAATCTGGTTTCACCAATTTTTGAACTTATTTTGGTTAGCAAAGACAAAGCGAAGACAAAGTGTGTTTTACTAGACAGAGTTTTGTGCTCATTCTTATAGTATTAACTGACTTATAAAGATGAGTTCTTCAGTGCTTATTCTATTAATTTACAAGCATATTGCGAATCTAATACACCTTAATCGTTCTCAGAGGTACGTGCGAGTTTAAGCATTCAAATCAGATCAAGGGTTTGCCGAGAATTAAAAAGAGAGTTACAAATTATAATAAAAAAAATTTATACACTTAGCTCACTTGATGACGTTAAAAATCTGCAGTCAGAGTTTCAATCGGGTTTAGTAGCTTTTAATACACCATACCTTGCTGATCACACCATATGAACAGAAAAATTGGGCTAACCGATGACCTTTTGCGCTTGGGATTGTGGTAGTAGATTCACTTTTCATCGCCAATTACAATACACTAAAGAAAACTACTCTTTTCTTGCATGGTAAGCAATGAAACTACAATGTAGAAACAATTTAAATTGACTCTTTCAGTCAATTCACATGGTAGCTATTATCCCTTCTTTGGATCTTTCCCATGCTATTTAAACGTCTAGAAGTAGTTGATTCGTCAAAGTTTGAGCTGAGTTTTCGTCCCGTAAGTCTTGCAATTCATTGTCTTCGAAAGTTTCTTGATCCTACTTTTCTTTGTTATTGACTTCAAAATCATCGCTTTTAAACCGCTAAAGCCAAAATCGCAATCTTGCTGAGTGTAGCATGTAGCACAAAATTAGCATATTCAATTTCAGGTTCAGTTTAAATCTGATTAACAGAACATATTACTTTTCATAAGTGCGATTGTGTCTCACTTACGTAATATTAGCTTGGGGAAATCCATTATTTTTTCGGTAGATGGCTGTACTGATAGATTTCTCGTAAAGTATCGATCAAACAATTTCATATTTATGCTCGTTGGAAAGGTGACATTTCGCAGTAAAAAAAATTCTTTTGCTGTTTTTTGTTTGGTGCATTCAGTTGTGAGTTACAGCGTGTTAAAAATGGAAGTGAACAAAGAGAAAATTCGGTACATTTTACAGTTTTTCTTTGACAAAGGCGAAGATGCAAGCCAGGCGGCTAAAATTGTGAATGGTGTTTATGGTTCCGATACTGTAACAGCCATTTATGTGCAATTTTGGTTTCGTAGATTCCGTTCAGGAATTTTTGATGTTAAAGATGCACCTCGCACAGGTAGGCCGGTCGTCGAAAATGTCGATAAAATCGGAGAAATGATCGAAGTTGACCGGCATGTTAGCAGTCCTAACATCGCCCAGGAGTTAAAAATCGACCATAAAACAGTTTTAAACCATTTACACAAAGCTGGATGCAAAAAGAAGCTCGATGTTTGGGTGCCACACCAATTAACAGAAAAAAACATGATGGATCGAATTTCCATCTGCGAAGCCTTGGCCAAACGGAATGAGATAGACCCATTTCTTAGACGGATGGTGACTGGAAATGAGAAATAACCCTGTGCGAAAACGATCGTGGTCAAAGAGCGGTGAAGCACCTCAAACGGCCAGGAAGGTTTTGCTATGCATTTGGTGGGACTGGAAGGGGCTTATTTATTATGAGTTGCTTCCATATGGCCAAACGCTAAATTCTGATCTCTACTGTCAACAACTGGACCGTTTGAAGACAGCGATTGACCAGAAACGGCCAGAACTGGCCAACAGGAGAGGTGTCGTGTTCCACCAGGACAACGCTAGGCCACACACATCTACAGTGACTCGCCAGAAACTTCGGGAGCTTGGTTGGGAAGTTTTAATGCATCCGCCATACAGTCCGGACTTGGCACCAAGCGATTATCATCATTTTCTTGCATTGCAAAATTTCTTTAATGATAAAAAATTGGAATCTAGGGAGGATTGTGAAAATCGACTACTAGAGTTTTTTGCAAATAGAGACCAGTACTTCTATGAGAGAGGCAATTTGAAGTTACCTTTAAAATGGCAACAAATCATACAACAAAACGGTGCATATTTGACCCAAATCGGACAATCCGAAGCATGTTAAATAAAGTCCTGAAGTTCATATAAAAATAATGGATTTCTTTTTCCCCAAACTAATATTTATCACGTATAGCTTATTTTTGTATATACATTTTTATATTTGTACATATTTTTTATAACCACCAAAGTATGAAGTTGATTTGTTTCGGGTTATTACTCAACCAAAGGACTCAGAATCAATAGGCCTTGTTCAAAAAGCTCATAGAACGCCTCTTGAACGCTGTTATTGAAATATGAGCTTAACTTATTGTAACTCAATATTCGTATTCTTAACTCCGGAACTCGTCGTAATTACCCAGGCGTGACTTTTTTTAACACGGATGCAGAGTACCAAAACAAATATTTTGATTGTGTTTCGGCGTTTTATATTTATCAAATACCTTTAGAAACTTATTATCCTACCTTTTCCTTTACATGAACCGGCTCAGTAGCTGCAAGGGGAGCAGTGTCGATCTCATTACGTCTTCGTACCTAAAATTGGGCAAAGGATGTCACATTTATACAGAGTATTGCATATATTATTTTCAAATTTCTTACATATTCTGTACCACTAGCGTTTGAGGCGGCAACAGTCATTTGTGTGACGTTACCCTGAATGAATTCATTTTTCACTTGTACATGACTGTTTGCTTGATTGTTTGCAGTCACCGCATCGACTTTTTCCCAGTCATAAGGATCTGATTCTTTAACACCACGACGTTTCATACAGCGCTCAAATAAACTAATTATCATCTAAAAAACATGAGAGCAAAGATTAGTACGAGAACATCAAATATTTGCCTTTCATTTGTTTATTCGTTTAAACCACATTTACCCCATAATCTGGGCGATCGGCATACGTAAGAGATTGTATATGTTCGAGAAACTGCTTCAAATCTGATGGTAAATGTTTCAGCAAAATACGGTGATCGTATTTCTCTTTTGTTAGACCAACTTGTTCCTTATCTTTTATTTTGCGCCATGGTAATTGGCCGTTAACGAACTCGACCAACATGTAGAAGAGAGACCAGAGATCATCATGGCGTCCCATTTCTCTGTTCCGGTGAGCATTGATTGAAGCATAGCGCACTGTACCGCGAAAACCAGCTGCCGCACGGGGGCATCTTACTTCACCAGTACCCGTAGTGTATTGCCGTGCCAATCCGAAATCCAACATATAGACACGACGACAATTGTAGGGTAATCGGCCAATTGAAAAATTGCTCTACAAAGCGTACATATTAGCAACGGAGTAGTCACATGTTTTGTATCAAAACCTACTGGCTTAATATCACGATGTAGGAACCCAACAGAATGTATAGATTCGATGGCTTTTAGTATCTGCAAACCTAATCTTAGTGTTGTACTCAGAGAAAATGCTCCACGTGGTTGCGCCCGGCGTAATTCCGCTAAATTTTTCCCTTGCAGTTGCATTACTACATAGTTGAAGCGATCGTTTCGACCACAGCCAATGAAACGACAAACATGCTCTTTGCCCTGCAGCTTCTTAAGAACAGCTACCTCCATTTTCAATACTTGCTTTGGTTGCCTAGCTGACTCAACCTTCAAAGCTACTTGCTCTCGTGTTATCAAATCTTGGCCCTCATATATTTCACCAAATCCACCTCCACCGATTTTACGGACAACCTAAGAAAGACAGCATAATAAAGAAGAAGCTTGACTTAGCGACTACCACAAAACCTTACCTTCCAACGTTCTTTAACCACATGCCCAGGTTGTAGTAAATCTTCGGAAGCCATTTTCACAGTCGACTCTTGATGTAGATCTTTACGATTCGAACAGTTATTTTGGCTTATTTCGCTATTTCTGTATTAAGCTGGATATCTAAGTCCATCAAGCGCGTTGCACTAGGTTTAAGATTACAGTCGGCTTTTACAGATACACGAAACGTCACACGATTCCTAGCACCTAATTCATGGGTCCGTATATAAATAACGCTGTAAAACAATCACATACTTTTGCTTTTGCCGAAGATCTTACCCGTGCTTGCAAGGGTTTTTCCTGGAATTTGCTCTTTCTGCTTGCTATGTTAAAAATCTTTAGAAAAAGGAGGTTTTAAGCACGACCACGTTATTTTTGCTACCGCTGTTCTTCTTACTGATGTATGAAGCTTTTTTCTTACTCTATGTTTATTAAGTCCACCCTGCTGAGACGCGATATTATTGTGCGAGTCAGCAGCGTTTTTTCCATTTCTGTAAGACGAAACAAATGCAAACAGTAACAAACCTCATTCATAGCGGTGGTGTTTTAAAATACATTGAACTTGACTGACAAAAAATATTCACTCAAATCCATTTCACTGACTTCTCAAAAACACTCACTTTCCCGTGGCAAAAACAAGACAGACTTGGACTGTAAAATATTTTTATAACGGTTTGCAATAAAAACAGAATCCTAGTTCAAACCATAATAACACTTTACGTGGCTACATCTACCTTTTCCATATAACACACCGTTTTCATCTATCTGTAGAGGCTATCAAATATTGAAACTGTAGTCCTTACTTATTTTTCAGCTATACCCACTCCATCTAGTCGTCCAGTTATATTTTTGTGACATTATGAAGGCTAGTCGATTTGTGTTTTTGTTTTTATTCCTTACCTGTGATGCTAAATTATTTATTATTCTTTATAGCCCAGAACCATACTAAAGAAACTTTTAGGAGTTGCCAGCTATTGTGGTTATATTTTTGTTACAGCACTAATCTTTAATTCAGTGTCTTATCAAGATTTTTCTTGAGCTTTTTCAGATGGAGACTGATTCAATATAATATACATATACATATACATATATACGTATATATATATATACATTCCTTTTTTAGATATCGCACCAATCTTGACTGTGATTTTTTGGGCATGACTTAATATATATTGTATTAGTCAGGTATATAAATTTACCTGGATACGTCTTTTCCTACATACCACATTAAATCTAGCACTAACTTGTCGATCGACTTTGATTAAAATAAAATAAAATTCTGTAATCGAAAACTGTATAATTTCGTGAAAATGTAAAAATTTGGTGCATCGTTTCGACTAAAGGAATATAGCTCGAAAACCACAACGTTTCTATACGGGAGTTGACTACTTTAATAACGTTTTTGAAATTTTTTTTAATGAAAGGAACGGCAACACAATTATAGTACATAAGGATGTTGTTAAGCATGCCTCTAAGTACTAGAAAAATTTTTTTTTTTGAAATATACTAAAAAATGGCAGCACCGTAGCTATTTCCTGGAGAGATCTTTAGCTTAAGAATCTTTACGGCAAACATTATAACCGGTCCAAATTGGAAAAAAAAGCTTTTTCCATGTGTGAAAATGCAAACCTTATTTGAGTTCAGGTTTTAATTTAAATTTGTCTCCTTTTCTGAAGCGATTTGCTTCTGTATACTACAAGAAAAGACATATTGTTAAGTTTCGTTTTTAAAGAAGTATTTACAACAAGGATAGTTTGCAAACCGAAGGCGGTGATATAAAGAACACCAAGCAAACACTTCCTTTAGTTATTTTCATTTTATTTTATAAAGACTGACATCTGTTGAATCGCTCTTAGTCTCAAATCTATTTAACGATGAAACGTAATTTCCCTTGGAAATACTTGCAAATAAACATGCCCTTTTCAAAAAATCAACAAATAAGACAAGACGCTGTAACTTGTCTATAGAAGTATTTGACCCTGGTAGCCTCTTTGAGGTATGCAGCGTGGATGAAATCGAAGCTTCAAGCAACAAAGTCCATGAGTCCTCTTTTTTTTTAAAAGGTATACTTGTCTAGTCCCTGTAATAACTTTAAATATTTTATTGACAGTCTGTTCTACAGGTACTTCAACATGGCCATAGGGTTGGACGTTTCGAAAACGAGTCTTCAATACTACTCAAATGTTAATCCTAATCCACTCCGCGTTTTTATCCGATCATTGTCGACAAAATCAAGAATACAATATATGCAAGAATCCGCCTTGATCATCCTACTGCAACCCGCCAATCCATCTTTAAGCAATCTCTTCCTTCAATTTGTAATTGTGGGCAATAGAGTTTTCTGATGCGTAAAGCTGCTAAAACTGAGAACCGTTCCATTTCATCCTTTATAATTTTCACCGGTTTGGGAGTTGTCTCTTATTGTGGCACACAGTACCAACTAAAGAAGTTTTTTTCTATAGAAGTTTAATTACCGAGGCAGAACTAGTAAAGAAATTATCTATAGTAACATTTCTGCCTCTGCCAGTAAATGGTTCAATGAGCTTTAAAACCACAGACTCACCCTATGAAACTGATGCCGGTTTCGTTTCGGCTTTTCCCAAATATGGAAACCCGTTGATAACATATTTACTATTTACATCTGATGCCAAATTTATCGGGTTTATTTGGCATATATTGGATGAATCGGCTTTAGCTGCGAAGAGTTACTCGTCAATTGTGATATTTGCTCCTGTCTTGTAACATTTTTAAGCGAGTACCAGACTTTTGAAACCAAAGCAAACTTATCTTTTTCAAAACGTCGCCTTCGCTCGTCTTTTTTGTGAAAGCGCAAAAATTGTAGAATATCTATTAAGGAATTTCGGCTCGTAATATTAGAAAAAAATTAAGGCCCTTGACATTTTTTTGTTCAGATGCACCACGTATGGGTATAAATGCCTCTAATTTACCTCTAGGTTCTGTTAGCAAACTCCATTCTTTTTCGTCTCCTACTTACGTTCAAAATATCTTCCTTTTCTTCCTTAGTGTTCGAAGACTCATTTTCACATTCGGTGTAGAATTCATACTCACTTTCGGGAAATTCAGACAACTCATCTATATCAGATTGTGAGCCCTCATCAATCTGCGAGCATTCTTCACTTATACCATTGATTTCCTGCAATAGCTCCCTAATTTGTGACATTGCGGCCATCCTTACGATTAGATATAAATTAGAATAAATGAGCTAACGAAAGTTATATACACTCCTATTTACACACCTGAAATTATAATTTCAAAAAATTTTAGACGACTATATATCTGAATTGATGTCACTATAAAAAATAGCAAAACTTCAAAACTACGTTATACAAGTATTTTTAGAACTCAGCCCTTCAATGATCTGCAGTAAAATACAATATTGCAAGCAGCAACCGAATATAAAAATAATAGCGCTTGCTTGGTTTTCTAGAATTATAACGTAAATTTCTTTATAAATTAGAGTTGAAACGGTGATGTCAATAGGCGCATTTAAAATTTGAAAATATTGTAAAATCGTTAAGGTGTCCCAAAGGCATCTCATGATAGAAATAGATACACCAGGTACTTATATAAAAATCTAGCATGAGCTGAAGAAATATTATACTGCCAAATAAATTAAAAAGTTATTATATGACAAGTGAAAACATGAATTGAGAAAATGTGATTACACTTATAGAATATTATTAAGGTAAATTTCGAAAAGTGTCCTTTTGACACCTTTGGTAGAAATAGTGTTAATATACTGTAATAAGAGTAATACACTTTTTCTCAATTTCAAACGTTTTCAATAATTTTAGACTTGTGAACATCTTGCAAGTACCTGAAAAACATAATATTGATAATATTGTTACGGAAATCCCAAATCCAATTCATTCCAGCTGTCGGCAGATGAAAACGATTTGCGGAAAAGCAGACAAGGATTAAAAATGAAGCCAAGAATTTGGGTATAGAAATATGCTTGTAAAAATGTATATAAATAGAATATTTGTGGAAGGCAGGGTTAGTAGAAAAAGAATATTTGAGTTGAGCAGTCGAAAGTGTTGCCAAAAAATAGGTTATGAATAATCCTACTCTAAAGGAATATAATTAAAAGAACTTTGAAGTGTATTTCTCTTGAAAAGAATATCCATGATCTAGTGGTACGAGTCCTATCTTAAAAAGGCGAATTACATAACAACAGTTGTCAGAAGTGGGATCGTGGAAACCAAGAGAAGTGGTGATATTAGAAGAACTAAAAATGGATCAGCTCAAACAGGACTTGAGAATAGGAAACCTTCGTACAATCGGTAGAAAAGCTGAATTAAAAACAAAGACTGGTCAACCATCTAGAAAAAGACGTAGAGCGTGTGTCCATAGTTGAATTCGAATATAATAATACCAGGGAAAGAAGCAAACCGACAACTTAGGAGGAAAAAAAATACAGCTACAGCAGGAGAAAAACACAGTGTATAAAAGGGCGAAGTATTTCAAACGCCGTTGTTATGCAGTTTATGCAACAACAAATGCAACAAGGGCAACAGAAAGTTCAGCAGCAAATACAGTCAGGACAACAAAAAAAAGAATCAAAAATTGACGGGACGACGGAAAAAATCGAAAAATTCAGGAAAATCAAAGCATCCTGCAAACACATATAGACGAAACGTACCAGAAATTCGAAGGAGAAGTTAATGTGCTGGAAGAAAAAGTTGATAATGCGATAGACCAGTTGGATGCCAAAATAAAAGCCTTAAGAACAGAAATGGCTAAGCTACAAACTAATGACGTAACCACCAGCTCTATCAAAGTAAAAACATCCTTATTTGACGGCACCACCAACTTCAACGCATTCAAGCTGCAATTTGGTGTTGTTGCAACCCAAAATACATGGTATGACGACGATAAAGCGGTCTCCTTAATAACCTCCTTGAGAGAAGCAGCAGTGGAAATTATCTGGATAATCACGGAAGGGAAAAAGACGGAATTCGCTGTAATTATGGATGCATTGGAAAGGAAATATGGTAGCAAACATGTGCAGGAGGTAAGCCACCTAGAGTTGTCTTCGCGCTGCCAGAAGCTGAACGAAAGGATCCAAGATTATGCTACTGAAACCGAACGCCTGGCCAATCTCGCGTATATCGGTGTGCCCGATGACGTGCTGGAAAGGTTAAAAATCGACGCCTTTATTAAAGGACTTCGCGACACGGAGATTAAGAAAGCTGTACGGACGTCACCTAAAACAACGTTTGCGGAAACGCTTGGCTTCGTGCTTACACAAGAAGCAGCTAGTGTGCTTTGGACGTCAAGTATGAAGGTGAGACGCATGGAAGTTACCAGCGAGAACGATATCTCGGATGTGGTCTGCGCGGCGCTTCGCCAAGTCCTGTGCTAAAAGATGTAGGTGCCGGCCTCAAAAACACGCAAGTGACAACGGCCTAGAAGAATTCCACTAGCGAAAATAGGGAAAGTGGTGAACTTAATCAAAAATGCGAAATG